TATATCATTGAAATAACTTAATTTATGGGTATTTACATTTTTAGTTATAAACATTATAATAATTATTATAATCTAAGTTGAATTAATACTTATAATAAAAAAAAACACAAACAACAATTGTTTAATGTATCAAAAAGTCAAATAACAAACATCGTTATCCAAACAATAATACAGTCTTTCATACGCAGTTTTTAGTAACATGTTCTGTGCTTGCATTTGACGTAGTTTAGAAAAAAAAAATCTTTCAATATCAACAGTTGTTGGATAGACACAGACCAAAATATGAACAACACTCATTAGATTGACCAAATTTAATGACACCAAAATGTTATAAATATTTAAGAGAGATAAACATAATGGATATCTAGTGGTTCTTTTCATCTTACAATGAAGTTCACACTTCGATTCTTTGACATTTTTATACATTTTATCAAGCTCTTTCTGTGTTCTTTGCCACATATACTCTGCAAGCGTTGCTATTTCAATCTCAAAGGATTCATCCAATATTTTATTATCCTTTAGAATATAACTGGGAATATCAGATGTTTTTGCCATCTCGTCAGGACAATAAAACAAGTCAACTAACTCCATATAAAATAAATGGTTGTCGTTTTCTCTGAAAGCCTGGTCATCCACAGTTCCTTCATCATAATTGATATACCTTCTGGCATGTAACATGTTTGCCGAGTGTGAAAGTTGATGGAATCTTAGATACACTTGAGCCTTCAATCTTTTGAATAATCTCGACATGAAAACGTCTCCCGTTTCCAACATCTCTTTGATTTCTCTGAATTCACTCCAATTTCCAGTCTTTATCTCTTCGAGTAAAACGTCAACATACCGAGCAAATATTTCCATTCTCTCAATGTATTCAAAAAGCAAGCAGTTGGCTTCTTGTAACAATGAGACTAGATTAAACAATATTTTGAAGAATTCCTTTGATTTATAAAAGATAGCTTTGATTTCTGGGTTGTTCAATTTGAAAGAAACTGATGCCATATCATCAGATTCGGCCTCTTCTGCATCATCACTTCTTTCATATTGAGTGTCAACATCATTGTTTACGATATCTGTTTCATACTTTTTCTTTGGTTTCAGCCTTATTGCTCCTTTTTGAAAAATCACGATTCCATTCTTTTCAAACTCCGTGGTGATTGATTCGAGCACTTCAGGTTTGATAATATAATTGCTGACATCATCATAATTGTCTGTTATGTCCTTCAAATTTTTGTAAATGTAGCACCATCGTGTCGCAGAATAAGTTGTTCGGAACTCATGTCCAACACTGCAACTGTCACAATAATCAGCAAGTCTTTTTCCGACATAACCATTGAACGAAAACTTTCACCATTTTGATGTCGATATCTTTTTCGAGTGATTCGCCCATCAAATTAACTCTATGAGCTGAACACCAGAAATTTTTCATTTCACAATCAATTAATAAAAGATTTGTTGGGTCTTCAACATTAATCAAAGCGTTCATTTCCACTGTTATTCCATTGTCAAGACCAGAACACGTTGCAGCCCCATCTGTGGTGCAGTTGACTATTCGGTAAGTGTTCAATCCTAGTTTTTGTATCTTCTCCACAATCCACTTAGCAAGAGTTTTCGGGTCACTATTGCCTTTAAACTGTTTAAGTACTAAGTACATTGAATAGCAACTTCTTCCCTTGACTATTCTGAGCATAACACATATTATTTCCTGATCCCCCTTTGTTGTTGAGTCCACTGAAATCGCGAGACATTTATACCAACTTTTTTCATTTTTGATTTTTTCTTTTTTTGTTGCATTTAACGTAAAAACTTGATCTTTTACTGTTCTTACATTTACTGCCAATTTTTTCGCGTCTTCAAGAGTGTCTCTGCTAAATGTTGCATGGCTAAGAAGCGTACAACGCTTTACAACTCTAACTTGTTCTTCACTCATTCTAGATTTAACAACTTCACCATTCATTACATAATCACACACTTTTCTTTGCATGACTTTTATACTTTTTAACATTTTGTTATTAGTAACATTTTTTTGCTTTCTGAAAAAATAATCAAATGCCATAATGTATTTCTCCAAAACAAATTTGTTATCAGAATCATATGAAAATTTTCTTATTAACTCAAAAGCCGAGTCAATGTTTAGTTCTTCAAAATCAATTTTATTGTATTTTAGAAAATCTCCACCTTGAAATAATGTAAGTTCTTTAAGTATTTTACTTTTTTGGTCTTCTGGTACACATTTAAATAATTCAATATTTTGAACAAGTACTTCTTCATCTATATTTACATCGTTATCTAATGTATTAATAGCTTTTTCGTGTTCTTCAACGACTCTTTCAGCTTTTAACAATTCATTAACAAGTAAATAATCGATATCATCTTCAGAACTTTCAAGTTCATCTTCTGTTGTGGTTTCAGGAATCTGTCTGAAAATATATTTTTTTTCTTCAATGGATATTTTTGTTTCTTGTTCACCCAGAAACTTATTGTCGAATTTGTTGAATCTTTTACTGTACTTTCTCATCTTCGCGGGCCCATCAAAAAAAGCTTTTAAAAACATCTGATTTGGAAATTTTTATTTGCGTGTTCACTTTTGAATAAATATACACTTCCTGTGATGAATCACTCGCTTCTTTAAAAGCAGCGATTGCCGCACGGTCTAAATCATTGATCAACAAATTACGATGGTGTATATTTTTGTTGTCTTTGTAAGATGAATGGTCTTTTTCGCTCTCTGCGAGCATCCATTTGTGATGTTGAATACAAAAAGAAAAATTCACATCTTTGAATAACGCTCTGATATAACAAAAACTGAAATCTCTCTCAGAAATAAATAAAGTAAGTTGACTGTGATTAAACATAATTTTATTATTTAGTTTCAATTTGATGTTTTTGACAATAACTTTTTCATCTTTATATTTTTTTAAATAATCGATAATTAATTCGTTAATTGTTTTTATTTTTTTTGGTGTGTTCATATAACATATAAAAACGTTAATTACTATTTAAATGTTAATTACTAATAAAAACATTTGCTAAAGGGGGGATAAAAAAACCGCTTCCGCTTAAAAACAGATTCTTTCAAAAAAAAATAGTTTTTTGTTAATTTAATTATAATTAAATTTATAGTTTATTTTTTTCCCGTTTCAACAATAAAAAGAAAAAATTCAGGGTTTTTTATTCAAACAATATTTTACAAAATGAAAGTAGCCTTTTTATTTTTTTGTGAAAATTTTTTATTACATAAAAAAGCAAAGTTTGCCGAAGCCATAAACCGAGACTATTAAAAGTAGCAAGCAAAAGTTTATTTTGAGGACAATTAATTACATAAAAACGAAAATAAAATGTTACACACCAAAAATTATTTTGAATTGTTTTTCAAACTCTTTTTCGATTTTTTGTTGAAATACAAATACTAATAAATCTTGAACCTATGAGTGCACCTTTTTTTCACACCCCCTTTATTTTCCTCTAATTTTTTTCATTGTTTTTTAAGAGTATAATCGATGATACGCGTGGTGGTTATAAACATACTCAAGAATAAAATTTAATGTTCTAACAGAGTTTGATCATATTTTATAATTATATACCCACATTTTTGTATCAGAAGATAAATGCACCTTTTTTCCATCACCCCTACAAATTTATTCCTCAATTAATCAAAAGTGCGTTTTATGACCAAATTAAAATAATTTATATTGGCAAGTTCCAAGTGAAGATGTTTGAATTACCCATTCCCAACTCTTATTCAAGTTCATGTTGAGTATTGTATGTACGATGCATCTTCAAGTGTGTGAACAATTTTTTAATAAATTATGACCAAAAACGAAGCAAAACAATAAATATGGTAATTTTCAATAAAATTTAAAGGACAAAATGATGGAAGCGGTTTTTAAGACGCTTGGATGCCGATATATTTTTTCTGTGTTTTTTGAAAAAATTTAAAAACTTTTCAATTATTTTACAAAACCAGTCTTTTTGGTATTATTTTAGTGTTGTTCATTTTTAATTTGGTAAGGTATCGGTTTTATACGCCGAGAAGAGAAAATAATAATAAAACGAAGAAGATAGTGCATGGTATCTCCAAAGTCGGCAACATTTCTTATTGGTAAAAAAATCAAAAAAAATCCGTGTTTTATACTACAATTTTTAACAAATTGGCAACAAAAAACAATATTTTGCTGATAAAATTAACTTGAATAAAAGTTTCAAAAATGTGGCATAATTTACTTTTAAATACCAAAATACATGTAATTTATTGGCAAGTTTACACTAAAAAGAAGGGAGGCGGTTTTAAAACCTCGAGCAAAATCACAAAAAATAATATGGCATTGTAAAAAAATTGGTTATATTTTTAAGTTATATAAAGCCAAGATGGTAAAGGTATCGGTTTTATTGTCCATTCAATTATGTTGCCCAAAAATGTATTTATCAATTTGGGTATAATAATTGTTGAAGAAAGAGGTTGTATTCTTTCAACATGTAACCAAAAGATGATAGTTTTTAAATGAATAATGATACAATGACACAGTTAATTGTTGCCCGAAAGACAAAAATAGTTTTTATTAATTATGTACACAGTGTTTCATCAAGCACTCATGGTGTTAATTTGGTGTTTATTATAGGATAAAAAATGATTTTTTATCGTTAATTAAATTAAAATATAATTAAATTAATTCACAAAGGGATGAAATTAAAGATAGGAAGAGAAAAGAAAAAATTGGTTTCTGAACTTCATCATTGCCCCAATAGTGAACATACAACACAATTACGAATATTAACAATTATTCAATTATAGTTGTTAATAAATTCGATTCATCGAAGAATCAATTTGGTTGTATACTCTTATCTACTTGACAGTTAAATGAATTGTGTTGTGGCTTTCATTTATATCGATCCAAATCAAAACATGCGTTTTATGTTTTATAGATTCTTTAATTAAAGTAACGAAATGATATAACCAAAGAACAATAAATATATAACTATATTTACTAAAAAATATCAGAATGATTATTATTTATTAATAGAATGTAAATAGTTTTTTTAAATAAAAACAATCAATTGTATTTAAGTAATTAAATTAATCTATTCAATAAAAAACAAATCCAACACACACAAAACATTCGTTCATTAAATATATCAATACTTAAATTGTTTGCAGCAAGTCTAATCAATAACAACACATCAATCCAATAAGTTGATTGAGCTTAAAACCCCATTTGATAACCCAGGTATACTACATACAATTATGAGTAAGTTCAGATAAAAAAAGTGATGTATGCCAACAATAAAACTATACATTATAATTTAAATAATTACATTTTAAATATTTATCAGAATCCTTAAAACATCATGTGATATATAATTCGACCAAACATAATCTTTATAAACTTATGGCATCTTCTGGTATTAAACAACCTTATAAACTGAGCTCGGAAAAGGTTAAAAGCCTCCACCTTGCAGGTCCTAAAATTCCAAATAGTTTAGGCCTCATTGAATATCTCAAAACATGTCCAGACACTTTTGAAAAGTTTAAAAATTTAGAAAAAAATGTAATTTGGCTCAATTTTCATTCTTTTAGAGATACGATCCGTTTTTGTTTTTTAAACTTCCGTCCGATATTTCAGAATCGCTCAAAACAAACAATCTTTCATTTTTGGTCTCTTTGGAGCTTTTTTTCGGGACAATGAAATCTCATGGAGTTAAAACACAAATTTCTAAAATTATAAAAGAAATGAAAACAGGACAAAAACCCGAAAAAGGACGACCAAGAAAGCTAACAGATTTAGAAATTAAAAAAATTCAAGCTGAAATTAAAAATGTGGGGAGTTCTTCTTCTTTGGGTGCTGGCTTATTTATTAAGCAAAATTTCGGGAAAAAATAGAGAGGAGGCAATTGCATCAAATTGTCGGACACATTGAAGGTTTAGAGAAAAAATGGCATTTGTAATGGAAAAAAATAGGGCAGAAGTTAAACCAGAGTCAATTATGTCCTATTATTCCGACTTAAAGAAAAAACTTGATGGGGTACGTTTCGAATTGGTTTTTAATTTAGACGAAGTTGGTTTTGCTCAATGGGTAGACGTCACTCAACAAATTGTTTATGCATCTGTTGAGTTGGGAGAGCATGTTTATACCGAAGTGGATCGGGATAAAGCCAGAATTAGTTTACTTTGTTGCATTTGTGTTGATGGAACAAAACTTACTCCACTTGTGGTAACAAAACGTTTATCCTTGTTAGACACCAAGCTTGCTATTTTAAGTGGAAGAGCTATTATTAGAACACAACAATCTGGTATGCTGACAACAGACCTTTACACGCTTTGGCTAAAAAGAGTCTTTTTCCCAACAATTAAGGCAAAAAGAGAGCAAATGGGAGTCAGATCGGATACGAAAGCATACTTAATTCTCGATGGATTCTCTGGTCACTTTTCTAAACAAATAGAAGATCTATTTTTAGAAAATCACGTCGAAATGATCAAAGAAGTTGCCCATAGTTCTCATCTGTGTCAGCCTTTAGACTTGGGAATTTTTGGGATAGAAAAGGTGTTTTTACAAAACAAAAATGGGTTGATACAGCACAAATTTGAGTTAAAAGTAAAAGAGGGGAAATTTGAGCACAAAGTCGGAAATATTCTAAAAATGGATTCTCCCTATTTTAAAAATCTTTTGAAAGGTTTTGTGAACCTTTCAGAAGAAGAAAGAATTAAAGAAATTCTCTATTCTTGGGAAGTGGTTGCAAATGGGGACAATGTTACAAGCGCATTTTCTCAGGCTGGAATCACAGTGGCTGTGAAAAAACCAACACAAGAGGAAATAGAAAAAGCTTTAAAAATCAATCCTAATTATAACCCATCCGATTTGATTCATGGTGTTATAAGAATTGAAATAAATTCAGCAAGAGAAGCCTCTAAATTCTTGGGAAAGATGGGGACCCCAAAAGAAACAAAATAACCCAAACGTATTTCTCTTGAAAACACTCAAATAAAAAAGCGCCGTCTTGAAAAAGAGCGACTCGATAGAGTCTCAAAGGAAACCAAAAAGAAAGTCAACAAAGGGAAGAAACCTCGAAAAGTCGACAATGAGAATGATTCTTAAACATTTTTAATTTGAGATGGTATTGGTTTAATTAATTCTATCAATAATTTAATTTTATGGAGTTTTTTTATAAATTGTTTTTTATAATTATTTTATAAGAAACTTTGCGATAAAAATTAACAAAAATAATTGAAATGTTAAAAATTAGAAGTGATATTAATAGAGATATAATTTATTTTATCCACAAAATGATTTGTTTTTATAACATCTAATTTATTTTAGTTATTTAATTAAAAAATATCGTATTATTGAAATCTGTATTTTAGTCTTTTGTTTTTTTAATAATAAATATAAATAATAAAAATTATTTTAACAAATTAATTTGAAAAACAATTATCTGTTTTATCGCAATTCACAAATTGTTTCCTTTTAAACAATGTGTTGTTTTTAATTTAAAAAAGTGGTTGTTTACAATTTTAAATTCTGTGATGGAAACATCAATATTACAAACTTTAATAAACGAGCCTTTCTTTAATACAAAAATATGGGATTTTTGATAATAAAATTCAAAACTACTTTTGATTGTTAAATAATTCGTCTTTTCAAAAATAAGTATTTAAACTTATAAAACTAATATTAATATATGTGAACAAATGAAGAGGTGAAATAAATTATGGCGAAAGAGTGTTGATTTGACATGGTGAGGAGAGGAAAGAGTGCGTGGATGGTTTTGACAATAACAGATAAAAAAATGTGTTTTAACATTTTGTGCCAAAAACGTGTTGTGTTCAATACGTTACAACTTCAAAACAAATCAAGACCAAAGCGACTTTCCTTATTTAATTGAATCTAACTGGGCAGTCCATATGCATCATATAGAAGCGGTGAAAGCTGCGTTAGACTCATTCAATTAATTTGTTTTAATTGTTTTTATTATATTTTAATAGTTTGTAAAAAAGTTAAAAATAACTTGAACATGTTTTGTAATTGTAGTCTATTTATGATTTGTTTTTCGTCATTGTTTTCGTAACTTTCCTGAAAGAACACATAACCTGTGGCTAAATTATGATGTTTTTTCCCCAATAAAATAAGAAATAATTGATTTTCCTTCTAAAATATTCTTAAGAGCTTTGGCAATGTTGTTGTCGTTGTTATTTTTTCTTTTTGTAAACGAAAAAACAATAACAAAAAAGACAAAATAAATAACATTTTTATTATTTTTACCATAAAAAAAAGAAGCGATTTTTCAAAAGAAGCGGTTTTTTAGCCCCCCTTTAAATGTGGATTCATTTTTTGTATAATTATTCATTATCACCTAATGTCCCGATTATTTGAGTGTTTATAAAAATAATCTTTACCAAAATTTTTTTTGCCGCAAAAAAACAGCTTTTCAGTCTTATTTTTTAAAAAAGAAAAATTTCCCGAACCATGGGACAACGTTGTTTGAATGACTCTAATGGGTTCTGTAGCGCTGTGACAGATAAATCCTAGTAAAAAATAAAAAATAATTCAATAATTATAATTTTACATTATTTATTTTTATCTATTTTTTCGGGAAAATCACCTAATAATATTTCAAAATTATTTAAACAGTTTTGGGACAAATTTTTAAAAAACTTTTAAAAAAAGCGGTTTTGGGTTGTCGGCAAATTAAACTTCATTTTTTTATATTCAATTAATAATTAATTATATAATTATTTTATATTAATATTTATAATTTTTGTGAAAGTACCAAATTAAAACCGAGATGATTATAATTACTGCCCAATGACCAATTATTTTTTTTCTTAATAAAAAATGGTGTTATTGGTTTTATTTTAATAATTCCCAGAACGTCGGTTTTTGTTATCAAACAAAATTTTAAGTGTTTAATTTAGATAAAAAAAAGGCATAATACTTCACAATGTAAATCATCAAAACCATCTTTAAAATGCGTCCAAAAATAGATCAATGACCTTCGAATTGCTTTTAAGGTAAAAATAAAAATCAAGAAACTAACACAGAATAGTTACTTTTTTTTCCTTAATAATAATAATACACGAGTATAATCGGCAGAATCGGGAAATCGAAGCTAACCCTATAAAAACAAAACGAACAAAAAAAGTATAATGATCACTTTGTTAATCACCTTTTGTTTGTTCCAAAGTCTCCAAGCCCAAGACAATTGCAAGACGCGAATATCCGACAACCACTGTGTTGAGTGTAACGATGGCTATTACCTTAAACTTGTCGACAATATTGAAACGGGAATACCTTCTTTGGTTTGTGAGTTAGCAACCACAGACACCAATTGCGAGGCCAACGATGGTGGTGCGTGCATTCGTTGTAAAGTTCGGTACTACCTTCAAGGCAATCAGTGCGTCAGATGTGGCCCTGGGTGTAACTATTGTAACAGTGAGTATTGTTACCAGTGCGGAAACACCTTAGATGACACAACAATTGATGCGTCTTTAAGAAACGACACTCAGCTCTATCTTTCCACTGATGAAAAGACGTGTATCGACTGTAACATCGCATCAAACAATGAACAATGTGGCAGATGTCAGGCAGGGACATACTTCAACATCACTTTAAAAAGTTGTCAGAAGTGTTTCACAAACTGCCAGTTGTGTACCGAGGAGTACAATTGCTACCAGTGCACCAACGGAAAGTTGTTACAAAAGCAAGGAACTCCAACAATAGAAACGCCCGACAAGTGCATAGAGATACAGCACTGCACCACTGAAGGACTTAAAGAGGACCACTGCGAGTTGTGTGAGACTGGGTATCGACTTGAAGCTGGTAATTGTGTACCATGTGATAATAACTGCGATGTGTGTTATAAGAACTCGGAAGGAAAGAATTATTGCAGTATTTGTTCCGATGGATTTGTGATGAACAATGGGCAGTGTGTAGAGAAGGGGGAATTACACTGCAAAGAGGGAAGTACAACGTATGGGTGCTTAGAATGCGAATCACACTATTTCTTCGACACAACCTTGGTTTGTCGAATTTGTGATGAATCTTGTGGGAATTGTGTGAGTGAAAGTACACACTGTTTGTCGTGTAAAGAAGACTTTTATTTCGAAAATGGAACAACCAACTGTATTAAGAAAGATCCACACTGCAATTTGGTTGATCAAGCCGGATGCAAAGAGTGTATTAACGATTTGAGCACTGCGGAAGGACAAAACACAACGGGATATTTTGTACCGCCAAACTCGCAAACTTGTCAACCATGCACAAATCACTGTAAACTGTGTGAAGGGAAGGATTATCACTGTTCTGCATGTACTTCTGATTACGTCTTAAATAAAACGACAGAGAAGGCTGAAGATGGTGTAACTGATGTTGAGTACTATGAGTGCACCCCAATGGGCGAGACTTGTGTGAAAACTGAAATGGGGTATTGCACAGAGTGTAAGAATGGGTTCTTCATTCGTGGTGGAGATTCCCAGGAATGTATCCAATGCGATAAATCGTGTGGAACATGTAAAGTGAGCACATCCTGTTTGTCGTGTAATTCGGAATACTACCTCTCAAAAGCCGAACAATCGCAAGAAAATGTGGAACATATCTGCCGACCACAAACTGAAATCAACATGACTTGCGACGCTGGTGTCAACGGGTGTGAAACGTGTAAAGATGGGTATTATATCAACCGAGATGATCCTTCACAATACAATTGCACTGTTTGTCCTGAAGAGTGTTCGACTTGTACGTTCAAGCAGACTGACAGTAACGATCTCACAGTTGGGTACCCTGTATGTACCGGGTGTCGAACTGAACAAGAATATGTGAATGACGGGAAATGCAAGGCGTGCAGCGAATTAAAGAATTGTGCTGCGTGCAGTGGTGAGAAATGTGTTACATGTGTTGAGGGGTATAATATTGATGCTGGAGGAATTTCATGCTCGAAGACAAACTGGGCGTTGATCATCCCACTTGTTGTTGTTGGTGTTATTATCATTGTGCTGATATTCATTGCAATCATCGCAATAATTTGGTGGCGACGCGCAAAGAGTGTCAAAGCCGAGACAGCAGCAATCAAGCCGTTCCACGTCGGCAGTGACTTGGAACTTCTTCTTCTTGGTGCAGACAATGAAAAGTTCCCGTTGAAGACTGACAAATGGGAATTGACATTTGGGTTGCAGAAAGCAAAGGCTGTTGTTGACACGGAATACACGGAAACGATCAACCTTGCTAACATGTCGAAGAGTCAATACTACTTTGAGTTCCACTACACACCAAGTCATAAGTATGACCTTGAAATAGAACCAAAGAGCGCAACACTGAAGCCATCGACAGCTATTCCAGTCACGTTCAAGATTAAGATGTTGTGCACGACATCAGTGAGTGACAACATCGGCATTTCTGCAATGGACATTGATGACCAAAAC